CACAGGTGATCTTCCAGCCTCAAGGCTTTCCCATTGCTCCACACGGATCCCTCCCCCCCCTTTCCCCTCCCCTTTCCTGCTAGACCCAGTGAGCTGAAAACAGAGGCTTAAGTCACAGCCCCACCACCACCTTGCCTCACATACGCCATCTCCATCGCACACAGACTTTGCAACTAGACCTTCCATAGCTCAGAAAATGGAGGCTGAGAGTCGGAAGGGGGTGAGTCAAGGGACAGAGCTGTCAGACTCAGACCTGTGCTGGCCTCACAGGGACAGAGTGTGATGAGAGTGCCTGGCAGGCGGCTGGGGCTCTCTCCCCTACTTCCTGGGGTCCCACAGCTGTTTTCCACCTACCTTTCTCTCTGGGTATCCTCCACACTACCCCCAACCCCGTCTTCAGCCTCCGTCCCAAACTGTAGCCCTGAACGGGGCCCTCCTTGTCCACTGTCTTCTGGATAGCCTTTCTGGACAGGGCCCTCCAATTCAACACATCTGGATGAAAGAGCTAAAGTTATCTGTTAGAAGTCCCCTCACCTATGTTCCCACCTCTGCAACAGTGCCACAGTGCCCCCACCATAGCCACCCCCAGTGCTTCTTTCTGGTCGTGGAATCTGAGTGACCCCACTGGCAGTTCTGATTCTGTCCTCTTGACTGGCAGCCACCACTTCACGCAGAACTGACAGCCCGCTCAGTTATCAGCCACCTTCTGGGCATGAAATCTGGCGAATTCATTGCTCAGAAGGCTGCTGCTGGTGTCCAGTTGCCACAGGACACAAGTCCCATCTCCATCTTCCCTTCACCTGCCTTTCTGCACCCTCTGAGGCTTCAGCTGGCCACTGTGCTCCACACCCATGGGGCCCTCAGGGTTCATCTGTCGTGTGCTGGGTGCGGCACTAGCCCTCCTGGTAGATGTTGCCACTTAACCCTCATAACAGGTGCCACTGTAGTCCTTATCTCTCATAGGGGAAGGCTGAGTGACTTGCCTCCAACCAGACGCAGGATTTGAACCTGGCAGTCAAGCCCGGGGTACTCCCCCGGCCTCCCAAGCGGTTGTTGTCAGGACTCCAGTACTCTGTATCACCTGTTCTCTTTTCCTGTCATGTCCCTTCCTGTCTTCGCTTGGCAAATTCTTGCAAATGCCATGTTCTCCAGGGAGCCTACTCTGTCTGTTGGAAGATCCACCCTCGCATTGTGCTCCCCTAGCTAGACCCATCCTCCTCCCAGAGAAATTGATTTGTTCATATCCTGGGGCTTAGGGCCCCTCCCACCCCTCCTACCCCTATAGGTCTTCAGAGAACTGGAGTCAGCTGTGCTGTCCTGCCTTGGAGGCTACAGTGTCTGCATTTTCACCTATGGTCAAACGGGGACAGGGAAGACCTACAGCATGGAGGTGGGAAAGTGGGGAGTCTGGGTGGCTCCTGAGGCCAGGGGCTGGAAAATGAGCCTAATGTGGCCCCCTGCCCTGTCCCCAGGGCCCACCTGAGGACCCTGGCATAGCTCCTAGGGCACTGCAGTCACTGTTCCGGGAGATGGGGACAGGCGGACAGCACCGCGTGACACTCAGCATGGTGGAGATCTACAACGAAGCTGTCAGGTCAGGGTTGTCCCTGGCTGCCTCTGCCCCGCATTCTTTTGGTTCCACCCTCCTGGAACTCCCAACAAAGCCCCCCCTTTTCACTCCCAGGGACCTCCTAGCCCCAGGGCCTCCCCAGCGCCTGGCCGTGAGGCAAGGCCCAGCAGGCCAGGGGGGAATCCAGGTGGCTGGCCTCACCCACTGGGAAGTGCCCAACCTGGAGTCGTTGCATCAGGTAAGGCTGCAGAGTCCTCCAAGGCCCCGCGCGGTACTCCCACCTGGGGCCCAGATCCTGCGGTAGGCCAGCCCTGTTGCTCCGGCCTCCAGATGCTGAGCCTGGGAAGGGGCAACCGGGCCACCGCCGCCACCGTCATGAACCAGCACAGCTCTCGTTCGCATGCCCTGGTCACGCTGACTCTGCGCACGGCGTCCCCACTGCGCGGTCCTGCCACCTCAGGTACCACGGCCCGCGCCTGAGCCCTGCGGGGGGGCGTCGCCGAACCGACACCGGGCCCCCCTTGATGTCGGGCTCGCGTGTCCCCACAGGCACGCTGCACCTGGTGGACCTGGCCGGATCCGAGCGTGCCTGGAAGGCGGGGGCAGCCAGCACCTCGTGGGAAGACCGGGACGGCCCCCAACGTCTGCGGGAAGCTCGGACCATCAATCGCTCGCTGCTGGCGCTGGGAGGCGTGATGACTGCGCTGCGGGCCCGCCGGCCACACGTGCCCTTCCGCGATTCGCAGCTCACACGCTTGCTGCAGCCCGCGCTCGGCCCCGGCGCCACCGCGGTGCTGTTGCTGCAGGTGGGGCCCGCCCCGCAGGCCC